TGAGATCTTTCCTTTTTCTCAATGTAGGCATTTATCACTGTAAACTTCCCTCTTAGAACTGCTTATATATTATATATTACAAGTTTTGTTAAGTTGTATTTGCATTTTTATTTGTCTCAAGATGTTTATTTATCTTTTGATTTCTTCTTTGACCCATTGGTTGTTTAGAAGCATGTACATAAATATTTACAAGTGTTATATCCTCCCGTTGGATTGACTTTTTTTTAATCATTACACAATACCCTTGTTTATCTCTTATTAGAGTCTTTGGCTTAAAGTCTATTTTACTTGATATAACTGTAGCTACCCTTGCTTTCTTTTGGTTTCATTTGCATAGAATATTTTTTCTATATTTTCATTTTCAATCTGTGTGCTTAAAGTTTAAGGAAGTCTTTAGTAGGCAGCATATAGTTGGGTCTTTTTTTTTTTTTTAATCTATTTAGCTACTCTGTGTCTTTTGATTAGAGAACTTAGTGCATTTGTATTAAAGTAATTATTGATTGGTAAGGACTTAACTGTGTCATTTTGTTAATTGTTGTCTGGTTGTTTTGTAATTGCTTTGTTTCTTACTTTCTCTTTTGTTTTTTTCTTTTATGATTTGATGATTTTCTGTGGTGTTATGCTTAGATTTCTTTCTTTTTTGTGTAGCTGTTACAGGTTTTTGCTTTCTGTTACCATGAGGCTTACATAAACATCTTATAATTATAGCAGTCTATTATAAGTTGATAACAACCTAATTTAGATGTATACAAACATTTTTATATTCTTTCCTGACATTTTAATGTTTTGATGTCACAGTTTATATTTTTTTATATTATGTATCTATTTAGAAATTACTATAAGTCAGGCAGAGAAAGACAGTTACCATATGTTTTCACTCTTATCCTGAGAAACTTAATAGAAGACCAGGGAGGAGGGGCAGGGGGAAAAAAAAGTTACAGAGAGAGAAGGAGGCAAACCATAATAGACTCTTAAATACTGAGAACAAACTGAGGGTTGATGGGCAGTGGGGGAGAGGGAAAAGTGGGTGATGGGCATTGAGGAGGGCACCTATTGGGATGAGCACTGGGTGTTGTATGGAAACCAATCTGACAAGAAATTATATATACAATAAAATAAAAACCTACAACCTAAAAAAAAAAGAAATTACTGTAGTTATGGGAGTTCTTAATACTTTTGTCTTTTAACTTTTATATTACAGTTATATAAGTGACTTACCCACCACCATTACAACATTAGAGTTTTCTGAATTTAGCTATATATTTACCAAAGTGTCATACTTTGATAAATTTAATGTAACCAGTTAGCACTCTTTTGTTTTCATACCTTGCAAGGCTGGTCTAGTGGGGATAAATTCCTCCAGCTTTTGTTCATCTGGGAAATTCTTTATTACTCCTTCAATTCTGAAAGGCAGCTTTATTGAATAGAGTGTCCTTGGCTGGCAATTTTTTTATTTCAGCACTTTGAATATCTCATTTTACTCCCTTCTGGCCTGCATAGTTTTTGTAAAATCTACTGTTAGTCTTATGACAGTTCTCTTATATGCAACAAGTTGCTTTTCTCTTGATGGTTTTAAGGTTCTCCCTTTGGCAGTAAGTTTTGACAATTTAATTATAATGTGTCTGGGTGTGAGTCTCTTTAGATTCATCTTTTTTGGTATTTTTGGGCTACCTGGATCTGGATATCATGTTTTTTCTTTCAGATAAGGGAAGTTTTTAGGCACTATATCTTTAAGTAAACTTTTGCCTCTCCTCTGCCTCTCTTCTTCTTCTGGGACCTCTATAATATGTATATTGGTCTTTTTGATGATGTCCCATAAGCCCATAAGCTATTTTCACTCATTTTCCTTTTTGTTCCTCTGATTGGATGTATTCCACTGCCTGTCTTCTAATTCTCTGATCTTTTCTTCCAGCTGATCTAGTCTGTGGTTGAATGCGTCTACCAAATTTTTCACTTTAGTTATTGTGTTCTTCAGCTCTATGATTTCTGTGGTACTTTTAAATGTTTTCTCTCTCTTTGTCCAAATTTTCACTTTGGTCATGCATTACTTTCCTGTGAAGTTCTCACTTTGACCATGCATTGCTCTTCTGATCTTGCCTTTATGATTGTTATTTCAAACTCTCTGTCAGAAAAGTAATTTCCATTTCCTTCAGGTCAGTTTGTGGAGATTTACCGTGTTCTTTTGTTTGGAACATATTCCTGTTTCTTCGTTTTCCTTGATTCTCTGTGTTGGTTTCTATATATTAGCTAAAACAGCCACCTCTCTCAGTCTTGAGACCAGTTTTGTATAGGAGACAAACCTCATTAATCACCCTGGCCTGAGCTCCAAGTTTCCTCTCAAATCTTTATGATTGCCCAAGCCATTGTGTTTGTTCTTCATGTCTTTTGCTGATTGAGTGTGTGCCAAGATCCATCAGTGTCCCCAAAGGGAAGATAGCAGTTAACACGTACATGTAGGTTTATTAGAAGCTGGTCCTCAGACAACACCTGAGAAAGTATGCATTCAAACTCCTTCTGTGGAGAAACTGGGAGATAGGTGTTTTTGTGCTCTCTTTCTGTGCTGAGCCTGATGTATAGCCATGGAGTTTGCCTGTTTATTTATTTATTAAAAAAATTTTTTTTTAACGTTTATTAATTTTTGAGACAGAGACAGAGCATGAACGGGGGAGGGGCAGAGAGAGAGGGAGACACAGAATGGGAAGCAGGCTCCAGGCTCTGAGCCATCAGCCCAGAGCCCGACGCGGGGCTCGAACTCACGGACCGTGAGATCGTGACCTGAGCTGAAGTCAGATGCGCAACCGACTGAGCCACCCAGGCGCCACAAAGTTTGCCTGTTTAAAAACTGCTTCTTTATAGCAGGTATAGCACTGTGGGACTTGTGAATGTAAACCCACATTGGCTGTCAGAGTCAGGTGATCTGGGGGCCCATCCCTTGGGCAATAGTTACAAAAGCCTGGGTGCCAGACATGTGTAGAAGCTCTTTCCAGAGAGATGCTGGTGACCTGGTGTTATTATTGGAGTATGAACCACTAGCTCTTTTGAATTCCAGGTAGAATTGCAGTCAGCACCTAGATATATGTTGATTACAGTCCAAATCCTCAGGTGGTAGCTTATAAATTATGCAGTGAGACCATTTGTAGGGAAAAGCTGGGAGATGGACGTTTTTGCCTGCTCCCTCTGTGCTGATCCCTGGGAAGATAGCTTGTGGTTAGTGTTTATGCACCTGTCATTGACTCGTTTTTGTTTGCTTTAGTTCTGCTTTAGTCCTGCTGGATCTCAGAGCGAGGTGCTTTGGGGGCCTTTCCCTCAGGTGGGAGCCTTAAAAGTTGGGACACCTGATATGTGGCCCAAACCTTTTACTCCTGAAGGAGAAGTTGGAGCTGGGAGTTTCCTCTTGATTGGATGGTGCTGTGCCAGGAGTGGGGTTTATGGCAGGAGTGTGACTCAGCCTTTCCTGCCCATTCAGATGTGGGTATTTTCTCCATTACACCATGTAGGAGTCAAACAACTAATTCTGGATTTCTCTCAGAGGGAATTAGTCCACGTGGAGCTGTGCATTTGGTGTGTCTGTGGGAGGAGGAAAATTCAGGCACCTCCTAGATTGCAATTTTGGTAAAAAACAAAACAAAACAAAACAAAAAGTTCTTTGGTTTCTTTATTAATTTAGTTGCTATAGATTATTTCTTTTAATGTATTTTATGTAACAAGTATTCACTTATTCAATAAATGTTATTGAATACTATTCTGGATGCTGTGAACCCAGCAGTGAATCAGATGGAAAAAAATTCTGGAGCACACATTTTGGTAGGGAGGAGACAGACTAAATCAGTAAACATATAGCTATGTTATATATCTTGGGATGAGTGCTATGAAGACAAATATAGTCAGATAAGGCGGATTAAGAGTGAGAAGGGAGAGTGCTCTTTCATAAACGTTCTTTGGGGAAGGCCTCTCTGGTAAGGAGACATTTGAGTGCAGATTTGGAGGATGTGAGGGAGTGATGTATATGGATATATGGAATGAAATGGAGGGAGAATGTCCCAGGTAACTGGAGAGGCAAGCAAAGGCCCTGAGGCACCCCTTTCTGGGTTTCTAAAGTAAGGTATACAGGAAATTTCAGCTAATAGCTTACGGATCTGGAAGGCTTTTCATGTGTTCACTCTTTGGTTGATAACATGGTATTTGGAGACAGATTCATGTAGCACCTGAAATACTCTTTATTATTCAACAATAAGTGCCAGGACTTAGGAACCTAGGAGAGCAGGAGAAACTATTTCTTGTGTTCTCTTGATTTTTGCTGGAGGAAAAAAAATGATACCTTCACCTTCTGTTTGTAATCTTAGAACACACTGTTAGGTCATGCAATCATATTATTTATGTTCAAAGTTTTTAATCATCATTTGTGTATATATTTTTGCATACCTGAGAAAATATGTAAACAGATTCCAGAGGGACATTGGTTTATTGTTTTATTTTACTTTGTATTATTGGCTTGTACAGAACAAGAATAACATATATGATTGGAGTCTGGGAGTGAATTAGGCTTAGGCATAAAGGAGTAAGACTGGTGGAGGAAAGGCAAATTGGAGAATTTTATTTCCCTCTGTAAAGGAAAGAGCTGTTACTTACTCTAATTGATTGTTGCATGGACCTAGTTTTGAACTTATTTTCTGATTTTTCAAGAAAAGCCAGAGATTTGCATTTTATGTGTTATCTCCTGCTTTTTAAACAGCTGGAAACTCAATAAAAACATTCCAGGACACTCTTCAGGCCAGACAGAACATTCATGCAGGTGGGATTCAGACCTCGAGTTTCCAGTTTGCACCCTTTTGGGGTATAAGATCATAAATAATTTTTGTTGCTTCCTTTCAAGGGATACTATTATATGCCTTGTAATAGTAATAAATTGCTGCAAGGTTTCTGGATACAAAGAGTTTTTAACACATTATTGTACCATTGCTCCCCCGGCTTGTTACTGACTATGTCTATTCTTGTCTTAGGGTACGGTCAGACAGGTCCACTGTCTCAGCGAGCTGGTTATGATGCTGTTGCCTCTGCTGTTTCTGGTCTGATGCACATCACAGGGCCTGAGGTAGGTATCATTCTTTAGCTTTAGAATATTCATAAATTTACTCCCTGTTTCTTCCAAAGGGATTTTCCTCTTCATTAACCTATAAGCCTAAATTTGAGTTAATTTTATAACAATCTTTTTAAAAAGCAAGAAGCAACAGATCAAGCGATGAACACATTTTCTGCATGTATTATATTGTTCAAGCTTGGTATAGGCACCCGGATGTAACTTAGGAATAGTCCTTCTGTCAAGTAGAATGGCTGACTAGACCGTACCTTCATTTGGCATATGTACAGAGCGGAAGGTCTCTTTTTCCTTCTGGAGTATTAATAAGTGGTTATGTATTTAAAAATTTGTTGCTTAAAGCGTCAGGTGGAGTTGTGTCTGATTTGTTATATACATTAGGTTCTGACAGTGGGAGAATAATTTGATTTTATAACAAACCCTCTTTATTAATAATAGGTTGGGAATTTCCTAAAAAATGTAGAGATGACTAAAATGTGTTTGGTTGACTTGAAGGCTCTTAGAAAATGGACTCTGTGAGAAAACGGTAAGAATGGCGTGGAAGTTAAAAAAAAGTGTGAAAGTCTAATAAATAAAAATAATTAAAGACATCCATTTCCAAAACAGATTGGATTGGTAGGTCTAAAACCTTTTCCCAGTTAGGTGTTCCTTCCCTGAATCACTTTAGTCACTGAATTCTTTAGGAAATATTCCTGCAGTTTTGGGTTAAACGGAAGCAGAGTGACCTTGAGTCTTCTCTTTTGCTGCCTTTCCTTCTTTTTATTAATTTTAAAGCAGCTGTTGGGATTTCAGTGTCTTGAGATACAAGTATTTGTTGCTTTTATTGCCTGTTTCATTTTCACAAGTCTAAGAAAAATGTGTATAGCCTTTTCTTAAAATATTTAAGGGCACCAGTTTTCTTTCCATCCGCCAGGAGAATGGAGGATGGATATATCTCTTTGCTCTATCCCATAGAAGTGCTTATGTGTACAAGACTTTATTATCGTGGGTGGTTTTGTTTTAAGAGTAGTGAACTCAACAATGAATATGTGAAAAGATCTTGGACTTTCTTTTTTTTTTAATGTTTATGTATTTATTTTGAGAGAGAGAGAGACAGACAGAGAGTGGGGGCAGGGCAGAGAGAGAGAGAGAGAGGGAGGGAGAGAATCCCAAACAAGGTCCATGCTCAGCGCAGCCCAACACAGGGCCTGATTCTATGAACTTTGAGATCGTGACCTGAGCTGAAACCAAGAGTCAGACGCTTAACTGACTGAGTCATCTAGGCGCCCTGGATCTTGGACTTTTAAATTTGTATATTCACATGTTAAAATGAAATAACTTAAAAACAGTTGTTGTGAAGCATTACTCTGGTTCCCTTAGTGCACTGTGATATATACTCTGACAGGGGTAACCACCCAGCATGTGCTCAACCTTAGTATTTGTCAGTCACTAACAGCTGTTCTGTCTTCTGTTATCCTACTTGGGAGATTTTTGTTCTAGCTAAGCAGATAAAGACAACATTCATTGAGTGCTTACTAAGTGCCCAGCATTACTTTATGTACTTTACATGTATTAGGTAAACTTAACTTCCATATACTGTATTTCTTTCTTTCACACGGACACATCTTTATATCTTAATTGATCCAGTGAATGGTTATTGCACATGTTCCCTCTCTATGCTGGGAACTGGCAGGCACTGGTGATAAAGCACACAACGGCGGGCGGCGGGGGGGGGGGCACAGTCCTTAAGTGGAGAAAACAAACATTAGCAGAAAGTAAACATTAAATACAAATAAAAAGAACTCTGAAAAAGTGCTCTATATACTATTAACATATACAACAGTGTGCCTCAGACCATTATAATAGTGTACTTCCAAAGTTCTCTGCAAAATGTGTTTTGACAGCAAAGAATAAAAGCAGAAGTGGAGAGAATTAGGCCACATTGGGAGTTCCCTTTAATAGTACTCCCTGTTGTCAGCAATATTTTATACCCTTGGCAGAGGAAGGAATACTTCCAAAAGCTCTGGCTGATATCTTCAACTAGCCAATGCAGATGCATTATTGCCAGTTATATCATATTGCTCGTGAACTTTTATCTACCTTGTCAGATGACTGAATGGAACCCAGGCTTCTCTATCATGTATCATTGTCCTGAGGCTTCACCACATCACCCTACACTGTGCAGCCTAACACTGTCGGGATGGTTGGTCAGGGAAGGCTTCTCTGAGGACCAGATGTATAAGGTGCGACCCAGTTAGGCATCAGCCTGGTGACCAATGCTGGTGTCTAAATGCTGGAGAGTCTGGTACGTTTGAGGAGCCAAAAGAATGCCAGTGTCATTGGATTGTTGTGAGCTGACAAAGATGGGGGAAAATTAGGTTGGAGAGGTAGGACATGGTAGCTGAACTTAGTCTTTAGGGTCTTATATTAATTAACAGTTTGATAAAAAGAGAAGATACATTATTATATATACATACTTTTTAAGTGATGATCTGATATAATTCTTCCTAGAAAATGAAGTGATGTTCCTAATATATAGACTAGCATCATGATAATAAAACCTCAAAATGCATGTTTTTCTTTTTTAAATGTTTAATTATTTTTGAGAGAGAGAGAGAGAGAGAGAGAGAGAGAGAGACAGAGTGTGAACTGGGAAAGGGGCAGAGATAGGGAGATACAGAATCTGAAGCAGGCTCCAGGCTCTGGGCTGACAGCCCAGAGCCTGATGCAGGGCTCGAACTCACAAGCCTGAGATCATGACCTGAGCCAAAGTTGGACACTCAACTGACTGAGCCACCCAGGCGCCCTGCATGTTTTTTTTAAATAACAGGATAATATTGCGCTTTTTATCCCAACGGGGTATCACCTAAGTATAGAATGTAGGATAAAATTTGTGAAGGCAGTCTCTATGATGAAATTTAAGCAAACCAGTTACAGTTGACTTCCATTAGATCTCAAATCTGGCCTTTTAGGTTAGGCATGCTGTGGTGTTGTCAGATAAGATTCATATTTGATTGTGGAGGAAAAGCTAACCAATGCCTGCACTCTCCTGGACCCACGCTTGATGCTTTACATACGCTGTTACAGGTTTTGATCCTCACATCAATCCTTCTAGGTAGGCATTGATAAATTCTGTAACAAAAGCTTAAACGGTTAGATAACTTGTCCAGAGTGCTGTCATGGTATATGAAGCGCAAAAGCCAGACTTTTAACCCAGATTTCCTTTACTCCTTACACCCTGACACTATATCCACTCTCCATACTGCCTGAAGAATGAATTTTGATTTTTATTGTATTTGCATTTTGCCTACACAGGCTACATGATATGATATGTTACAGTTAGTGAATCAATCATGCGTTGTAGGGAGAAAGCATTTGATTAAGAGTCTGGAGGCCTGACTGTATCTAATTTCTCTTGTGTAATGTTTACTGGCTGCCTAAAATGTGCCCAAGAGAATAATAAGCCTCATAAGACCATGGTCTTTGCTTGGTCACTGCTGTATCTCTGCCTAGAACAGTCTGGCACTTGGTAAGCACTTAATGAATACATGTCGAATGAATGAATAAATGAATATCTGGCACTGTGCTGTGTGACCTTGAACATATCACCTAGCTTCTCTGTGTTTCAGTGAAGTGCACCTCGAAGTGATACTCACATATTTTCTCTTCAAGGTGTTAGATTAAGCAAATAAAATATCTCTTATAAAACATAAAAGCACAAAATTGTGTGTAATGTGAGATAGTATAAAAAATAGTCAGCAAGTGCTTGGTATATCTGTAGTTTTCTCATCTCCACTCTTAGAGATACTGATTTGTGGGCTTATCATTAATGCATATTTAATGATGACCCCAAATGTTTCTGATGGAGATGGTTTGAGAAACACTTGGAAACATTATATGAGGTATTATTATTAAAAACCCCTTTGCACTGAAAGTAGGCAGCAGATATTCTTTGATAGCCTCTGACAGAAGCCAATGACTTACTAAGGTCTATATATTATGATTAAATTATAATCTTGTACTTCAAACAAAATCATATTATCTTTTTCATGTTCATGGCTGTATGCTAACTAGTCATTACTCAAAACAGGTATCTATCTATCTGTCTATCTTTTTTTTTTTTCATGCATAGGGAATATGGAGAAGGGTTGGGAACAAAACCAATAAGTATGAAATTTTGAAAAGTAGATGACTGATAAATATGTAACATGTATTCTGAGTAATAATTCACCTATAAATTATAGTACACGTAAACATCAAGATGGATTATTTTAATCGGTCAATGAACAATGATGTATTTACCATATGTGTATAGTATTGTATTAGATATCATAAGTTTAGTATCTTACTCTATAAGTAACAATTTGATTGACTAGATTCAACATATACTTACGGAAAAATTAGAAAAGAATAGAAAATGCATAAAATTAAGTGGAATGCTCTGTAGCAGACAATATAGAGAGCTGTAAGATAGAGGATCTCTAACTTTTTCTTCCGGAGAAGCAACTTTTGAAAGCCTTTGAGTTTTATGATCCTAGAGGCCTGGGTTGGGAAATGTGTATGTGTGTGGGTGTGTGTGTCTGTATGTGGGATGTTGATCGTGCATTAAGTGCTTTGCAAGCAGCTGAGAATGGCAGATATGTGAGGACCAGTTGGTATGGGAGCAGTTGTCAGCTGTTTTTGAGAGATCTTCCAGGGTGGGGACAGCCTCTTATTCAACCTGATGTCTTAGTGCCCAGAACAATAGGTACTCTAAAAATGTTTTCTTTTTTTAAATGTAACTAATAAATTCTTCAAAAGCCAATTTATGGCTCACTTGGAATCTGTTGTAGAGAATTTACTCTAACTTGAAGTAAAATATAAGTGTGGCTCAGAGCAGGACTTGAAGAAAGTGGCAAGATTTGAGTTGAAGGCCACCTGGGAAAGTGGATAGCATTCAGATGGATGGAGACGTTCATAGTGGAGATCAGAGTGGATAAAGACAGAGAAGCAGGATGGAATCAGGCTTATGTAGGGCA